GGCTCCCCGCTTATGCTAATGAAGCCCGGGAAATTCAAATCCCGGGCTTCATTAGCAAGTGCGGTATGCATACATTACCCCGCTAGTTCGAACTAGCGGGGTAGTGTAGACATACCCTAAGTTAGTTCGAATTAGCGCTGTAGTGTAGACATACCCCCAGTGGTTAAGCACTGGATACATTCCACTGGAGTTCCACCAGTCAGGAACAGTCTATATAATACTTAGCCCTGTCTTAAGTGCAGGGGACTGTACTAGATGACCTCTCAAGGCCCCTTCCAGTCATACAATTCTATGATTTTATGTGTGAAGAGAGAATCTGATAGAAAGGTAGGTCGAAGTCCATAAAACTTGCAACTGCCACTGGAGTTTTGTAACTGAGAAAATTCATTAAGTTATTGTAAAATTAAGGAAATTCCCAGGCAAAAACTATGTTACGCTGGAGCTAAAACTGTAAACATGAGAGTAGTGGTCCTTTAAAAACCCAAATGCAACAGAAAACTTAAATTCAAAGTTTACATTTTTCAATTTCATTAATACTAGAAAGCATGGAAATGCACTTTCAAGATACCAAGTAAACTTAGCTGTGCCACTATCACCATCCACAGAACATATGAAAACAATACAATTGCGTCTTGAAAAATGCACATCACCACCATATCTGTAATTCTGAGAATTAAGACATGATTTAACTGGACCATGTTAATCTTGCTGAGAGATTGGCTGTACACTACTGCGGTATTTAAACTGAATACCTCATTGTCTTTACATTGCTACAATGAATTACACACCTACCTTTTCAATACCATACAGCAGTAGTCTCCAACCTTTTTGACCACAAGATCACTATTTCGATTTAAGTGCAGTGTAAGATCTACCTCGAGACCAAATACCCTTGCCCCACTTCCTTCCCGCCCCATCTTTGAAGCCCCATCCTGGCTCACTCCATCCCTCTTTTCCTCTCATCCTCACTCACTTTCACTAGGCTGTGGTAGGGGGTTGGGGTGCAGGCTCTGGT